TAAGGCAACGTATGTAGAAATGAAGTTGAGGTTTATCATTCGCCTGGCTGCTGGTCTGCCAAGTAGAGGCACTCCTTTGCACTCCTGCAAGTTCAGAGAGCTTCTGCAAGGGTCCTGAGTGGGGAATCTGGGCCTAATTTACCCAAGAAAACAAGAACTAGTTTTAAAACAAACAAGAAAAAAAAAAATCAATCAAACAAACAAACAAAAACCCCAAACAATCAAACAAAACCAAACAAAGGACAACAAAAAGACTCATTGGTTCTTCAGCTGAATGTGTTTATTTTCATAGCAGCAGGTGAATAATGACAGAAGAGGAACTTTAATCACAACCAGAACAAGTATACAACTGTGGCTTTAATTGAGGACTAATTAATTCTAAAGTAGAGCAAGTTACATTTTCTCAGGTTGCTCATTACATGGAGTTTGTATGTAATTACTCACACACACACACACACAATGCATCTTGGGACACATTAAGCATTTCATTTTAGTGTATTTTAAAAGTAGCTTCTTGTTGTTAAATTGCCCTTCCACAGTCCTTCAGTATTTATATAGCTTTTGCCAATGTTTATATTAACAGCAGAGGTGCTAACAGACCAATAAGACAATTTTTCCTCAGGTCTACACAGGAACTTTCTGTACTTCCCCAAAGGGATCTAGAAGATAATCCACAATATTTAACAAAAATGGATTCATTGTCAAATACATCGCTATTGTGCCAATCTTGTGGTTTCTTAGGTTATGACTGTTATGGTGTCTGTGTTTCTCTCTCATACATACTGACACACTACCTTAGACACTGTTATAACTGCTTTTTAGGAGTATAATTAAGAGAGGCTGACGCAGCTCACTAAAGTTCTTAAAACAAAAAGCCTTAACTGCTTTTTGTCCTCTTCCTGACCTCCACCTTGCCTGGATGAAGGCTGTAGGTACCCTGGCGCCAGTGTATGATTTCTTTTTTCCACAAGCAAACACAAAATCCATCAGAGACATCCTGCCTGCACGACAGCTAGCAGACCAGGCATTTTCCTTACGCAGGACACTGGGCAAAGCCACTGCCTTGTCCTCCCTACAATTTCTATTCACTTGCAAAAAGCACAAAATTTGAGAAGCTGTTGGATGACAGGCTGAAGGGACAATCAGTGCACCTTGTCTCCAAAAGACACAAATGCAATACTGCTGAGGCGTGCCTACAAAGTAATTTTCATTGTAAGGAGTATCCTCATTAGGACCAGCCTGACCTACCATCTCGCTCAGGGTGTAACTGGGCAGGATCCCTTTGGGTTCTTGCCAGGAGAGAGCACCACAAGAGCACAGACAGACATGTAATGGGTACCAAAGTAAATCTGCGTCTGAAGTTACGCCTAGGCTGGCGTGCACTGACAGAAGCAATTACGCATATTGGCTAAAATCAAACAAGCAATAAACATTCAACTATTAGATTCAGAAAACATAAGGGCACACAGAAAATCATGAGTTTCTGAATGTTTCTCAGGAACACGCAGCAAAGATGGTGTAATTATACTGATCCTAGAGCCAAGGGAATGTTTTCTGCACATCTGTCAATGTGCAAAAATAGGTGCACAGATTCAGTATATTATATGTTTATGTGTTAAAAGTCACTACTCAGCAACAACTGTTTTTTTCTTAAGAGAGGAGAAATTTTCAGTACTGAATGTTTTTTAAAGATTCATTGTGTTAACGAAAAACCTAAATGATGTATTAACATATTAGATTTCCTAATTAACCAGTCATTCTTATTATGACTAGATTTCTTTTTTCTTTTAAATGATTTATTAGTATGTTATCCTCCAAAATTTTATATGTTCATATACATCCATTAGTTACTAGTTTTCTGAGATAAAATCCCAGATTTCATGAAAAAAAAAAGGGGGGGTGGGGAGAAAAGAAAAATCTGGACAGGATCTTGTAGCTACTTCCTCTATCTTTACAAAGGCTACTTGTTTCAGTACATCTGTACTACTTGTAAAGATATAACATTCAATATATTAGATCAATGTGCTAAAGGACAGTTTTAAGTGAATTTATTGAAATATGATGTTCCTTACCTGGCTATTGTAGCCAGCCATTTGCAAACCTAATCTGGTTCTCAGCATACCTTATAGAACACATTCATTCGTATCTTCATCCCAGTTTTCAAATGTTTGATATTCAAAGAAGTATACCTGGTCAAAAATAAACCCAGAAAATGGAAAGTTTAATATCAGAATATTTTTTCAGTAACTGATGTCACAAAGTTTCATATATTGTCTTGCCTATTTTTTCCTCTTGCATCTTTCTTTGTTTCATGATCCCAAATTGGTTTACAGGTTTTGTCCTGATAGCATACTTTCTTGTCATCCCAGCATCAGTAATTGTTTCTATTTACCAAATTTATCTTCTCTTCCCTTGTCGTGAGCAACATGCCTGGTATTTTTTAGGAACAGACTCATTTCCTGGCAGGAAATATGCCTCATATTAGAAACTTCTACTTTGGTTATCTTGTTCCTATACTGCTAGGTGTATTTGAAGTTTGTTATTCCCAATTTTTTCCTTGTTGCTTTTTGAATTTGCCCCATAGAATTGCAAGTCTCACCTACAAAACACAGGGTTGCTTTGTCTACCTACGAGGGTGCTGTTTTCAGCAAATCTGCATTAGCAATCTTCTTATTCCCAGCCTCATCATTTCACTCTTGCTGCTGGCATCCTCCTGCCAGTTGGGGAATCTCTCTGCCAACTGCTGTTGGTCTTCATTGAAAATGAAAGACAACACCAACATTCAGAGGATGTATTTTACTTCTGGGAAAAAACTAAGTAATGCGAACTCTCTAAGCAGGTTAAGCAGTCTCAGGAGCTAAGACAAAAGCATGCAAAGTGTCCAATCTAACTTGCACATGGCCTTAAACAACCCATGTCTTCCAGCCCTTTGTTCATAGAAATTTCCCATGTAGCAATTTTGGGGCAGGGAAAAGCTGTCCAATATTTTGTATACATAGAAGCTGTGAAGCTCTCTGTTCAGACAGACACATTTGAGGAACAAGTGACCCTTGTAACAGGATATGTGTGATCCCAAAAGGCAGTGCATCTACTTAGCCAGATGACATCGCAGTCTTGCATATATTATCATAAAGATTCCTACAGGAAGGGATTTTACTGAGAATACAAGTTATCCTGCAGAACAAAGGTGAGTCGAAGGTAATGGCACTTAAGCTATGGCTGCAGCATTCTAATGATGGGACATCAAAGTGAGTCCTGGAGTCACAAGTGCAGTTGTCTGATGAACACAGGAACAGCCTGGACTGGGTCTAATGTTCAGCTGCTGCATCTTGTATGTTGGGCATGCTAAATTCACTACTGAAACAAGCCAGCGGAGGGACAGCAGAACTGATTTAACCTCTTACATTAGTGATAAATTTCTCTTTCCTGAAGCCTTAAGTGCTTTAATTCTACACATTAGATAACACTGAATAAACAGTGTTTCATATTGTTAAAATAAATCCCAAATCATTACAAATATTTGCCCATTTTGATAAAGACAATTATATCAAAGCTTAGCAATTGTTTGTAGCTGTATTCTGAGCCATTCTAGTATTCCTATCTTGGCACAAGGAGAAAAAGCAAATCTTCCAAAAAAAAATAAATAAAAGGCTGTTGTGATCATCCCCAGCAGACAAGATAAGGACAGTTCCCCCTGCATTTATTGTGATTTGAGCAAAGGGAGAAGAAAGTGTTTCTTTTTCCTACCTTGGGTTTCATCCAAGATGTCAGCATCCTCAGAAATGGCTAGTACTTGCGATCTTATACACTAGGATGACATTAGACAAATTCCACAGCACTGTGGGTAAGTTCAATATAGTTGCTTTTATATACATTGGTAGATGTAGTTTACGTGGTTAAGTGTGCATGCTTGCTGCTGCTCTTTGTCGGATACCTTCAGACTCCAAAATGCACTTGTGCCAAGGTTTTCAAATGTGATTTGGCATGATCCTGACCTCACTTCTTTTCTACTGAAGATAAGGTGACTATTTCATGATGGCTTTATTTGTTTATTTAATTATTTTGGTCTAAAGCAGGAGAATAAGAATAGCCCATATCCTGATTATCTTAATAGGGATAATTTAGGCAAACAATGTCACTGTTTTCTTTGTGCTTTCTGTCTCTATCTCTACATTGCAAATGGATAGAAAGGTAAAATTTCTCTAATTATGAAGAGGCTTATCAGATACCAAAAATAGATGTTCTGACATTAGACCTCCATGCTGCACTGAGAATAATGTTATTCATTTCAGACTGTTTCATCTGTGGTCTCACTTCTTTGTTCAAAAGTTCTTCAAGTTCTTCAGAAATGTGAATGATAGTTCCACGGTGACAGGACGGAAAAAAATACAAAGCAAAAGACCCTTTCCAGATTGCACCCATTTCTTTCATTTATCCATCCAGAGTTCAGAACAAAGAGAAAACAAAAACATACTTGTTCCACTAATAAAACACATCACTGATTTTCCTAAGGCTGGACAGAGATCATGTTAATCAGATGTCTTGCTATTCCTATTGTCTTCTTACTCGTATGAAAAGAAGATTTTCCTCAGCAAGGTCAGCTTCCTAAAAGTTCATCCTATTTCTGTGCTCAGCCATAACAATTCACAAATGAATTCATTATTTGCTCCAGGGTGGGAAAAAAAACAATTTATTCTAATTAATTTGCAGTTTCCTCTGTTGCTTTGGCAATCTTGGATGCCTTGTCACCCTCAGCAACATATGTAGACTCTGAATCATGTGAGTTCATGTGAGCCCTGTGGTCCCACATTAATCGGAAGCAGGGATGAACTAGCTGTCAGATATGCCCTATGACATTAAGTTTCTGGGAACTCCAAAAAACACCCACCCATAATCTCTGTTCAGTAGCAACACGACAAACTCTGCCTGTTTAACACAGATGTGATCGTTCTTACAAAGCTGCTTATCCCATTTCCCAACTACATTTTTAATAAGAAATTGCTAGTATCAGGGACTCAAAATGTAAGCTCATCTATGCTGTTTCTGTTTAAAGAAAAAAGAAAGTGCAAGCATTATTATTCCTGGTGAGTTCGTTGCTCCTTGGACTTCCTTGTACAGGAAACAGATGTAAACTGAGACGTTCCAGCTATCAGAGAAATATGACATGCTGCCTTTCTCCTCTCTCCCTTTTTTGAAGACTTAAGCTTCCAGACTCCCTGCTAGAAAGCCTAAACGTTGCACAAGGAGGTGAGGAGGGGCGGGGGGGGGCATGAGGGGGAGAAACAAAGAAGCAAACTGTCTTTCTTTTCCCTGAACTCAGTCTTTCTCTTTATGTCACTGATTCACTGCTTAGACTCTCCAAGCAAAAATATAGAGGGAAATATCCACAAAAATCTTCGCCAAGACCTTTGCTTTCAGAATGCACCTTTTCTTCATTTGGAGTTGTCACTTTCAATGAAACAATTCAATTTTATGGACAGAAGTTTTTTTTTCTTTTTTTTTTTTTTTTTTTAAAGAGGAAGGGTGCAGAAGAAAGGCAAAGATCCAGGGAGGGATTAGTCAAGTTCCTTTTTCATCCGTGAACATGCTGCTGGGGGCAGTAGATTCACTTGCACTCCTGCTTTGGTCACAGTCCTGCAGATAATTCTGCTGGTGCTTGGATTTGCCCAGGAATGAGAGTCTGCTAAGAGCAGTGAGGAGGCTCAGGAGTGTCTAGTGAAGGGGGCTCAAAGGGGCTTGAAGCTTCAGCCTGAAAGAACTTAAGGAAAATCTCAGAAATAACTAACAAATCAGCCAGGGTACATATAGCCAGGGATGCAGCGCAGTACACTACATCCCTTTCCAATTCATGTTTTCTACTTGTACTTTGGTATTGCCTAAGGATCCCAGTTTGGACTGAGTCTCAAAAATAGTGTCTTAGCTGAGTACCAGATGCCCTTGGGCGTGCATCCTGCACACATTGGCCTCACTGTCATTACAGCTTGCTGCAGCTGCCTCCTGCCCGTACACCCTAGTTACCAAAAAACAAGCTGTGAAGAGAGATAGTGTGTCATCACATCACACAGCTGGACCCCAGAGGTGAAGTGCTCCTGGACCCCATGGTTAGATGTAGACATAGTGTCTAGCATTCTATGAACATAGAGCGCTAGAAAGTTTACAGCCCAAGCAGCTTCTGGTCAAAAGACAAACCAGATAACTACATATAACCACAAAAGCCACTGTTTGAAAGCATGGTTTGATAAAAGATCTGTGTGTTTTCCCAGTTTCTTAATCCTGAATCATTCATTTCCTTTAACATCACCCACAGCATCCGTTTGCCAGTCAAATGCCTTCATAATCCCCACACTGTTCAATTACCCTCTTTCCCTCCTGTCATATCACCCGCAGGGTAGCTGCAGACATTTTCTGGAAGCATATTTTTTATACTATATGGCAATATAATTATGGGTATGTTGGCCTTAAAAATAGGCTAGAAAAATAAATGAAATATCCTTTGCCTAGAATGTTCCCACAGACTGAAGTTTCAGCACTCAGAATACGAAAACCTGCAAAGTCACAGACATACCAGAAAACTTTTTCATCTGGGCATGGGCTGAGCAGAAGAAATTAAAAGGCAATGTATACCCTATGTCCTTCGTGCTGGACACTGGGGTATGTCACTTCCACCTGTGATACAGCTGCTGCACAGCCCTCCGGGAACATCCAAGTTGTGCTCATCTCACTTTCTCTGTGCTAAAGATCCTCTGTTCTCCTGAAATCGAGAGGACAGGTCAGACCTTTTCTGTTGTAACTCCTGCCATTGAAGTGAGCTGTACCACATTTCCTCGTTGCTGCGGAGGCTCCAAAAAAATTCTTAAGCAGTTCTTGGAAATCCTGACAGTTCACCTGATGCACAATAATTTGTAAAGCTCTTGTAATTTGACCATACATCCGGGCCTTCAAAGGAGCCCTTTGATTCTCATCCAGAACCATCACAGGAGTTGACTCTAAGATAGTCATTTTATCCTCCCATATGTAAGAATGGAGTTGCCAATACTAAGATATATATTTTGCAAGATACAGATGTGGAGAAGCAACTCCACCTGCATTTGCCTGAATATCAGCCAGTGAGATTTGGCACCAGCTAGCTAGATTGAGAAAAGGACTTGTTGTTAGCTTCTGCATGCTTCACTTCACACACTTTTTGCATGATTTTCTTTCCTGTCCAGTAAATCAATGTCAAAATCATGTCAATCTGATCTCCATTCAAATCCATGCCAAATCTGGCAAAGACTTTTTAAAAATATTGGGTGGAGACCCTACAGAGAGCTTGAAAATGTTGTTTGTTTGACTAACATTTTACAGGACTGGTAGAAAAAAAAAATGGTGCAAAGTGTTTAAATATGATTTGCATAGTCATTGAAACATGACTCCACTGCTCACTGATATTATCTTGTATTATAGAAAGTTCTTTACAGATGTGGCATAATTTTGTCAGTGCATTTATGTAGTTTCTGGAATAATTACACTTCTAACCCTTCTTAATTCCTTTAAGTATACATCTTCTCAAATCTACAGATAAGAGCTTCACATATTCCAATCTGTATGGGTGACTGAGCACAGGAACAAGCTGTCCACAGAGATTGTAGAGTCTCCTTTTCTGGAGATATTCAAAAGTCACCTGGACATGGTTCTGGGCAACCTGTTCTAGATGCCCCTGCTTGAACAGTGATTGGACCAGATGGAACCCAGAGGTCTCTTCTCACCTCTACCATTCTGTGGTTCTGTGACTCTGTCTCTATACTCTATAGAATAATCTTCCAAGCTAAAATATTGCTTTCTTATTAAACAAACAAACAAACAAAATAATAATAATAACAACAACAACAACAACAACAACAATAATAATAATAATAATAATAATAATAATAATAATAATAAAAACACATAGTAGAAGAAAGGAAGAAAGACAATACAGTACCTGTCTAGCTTACTACCATCCAACAGTCCACTTAGTGGTCCTTACACATTTTAATTCCCCGGATGTATCTTTCCCATTACTTTCCCCATGTCATGGCTCCACAGCTTAGGTATCACCCTGTACCAGTAACAGGATCTGGATTATTCTCTCTTCTTCATGAAATATTAAACCCCAGTCAGTTCTATGGTCATATTCTTATAAGAGAATTAAGGCATTTTTTTAACTTGCCTCAAGACTTTCATCTACCAGGCCCCAGGTTTGGAAAACCAAATTTGCAGTGTAGAGGCAGAATGTAATAGTTAAGGATCTTTCTATTTTCTTTCCAACATTCTTTGAGATGATGCTACTTTTGGTGGGGGGATTGTTTCTGGGTTTTGAGTGTTTTTGTTTGTTAGTTTCATAGAATCATAGAATCATTTAGGTTGGAAAAGACCTCTGAGGTCATCAGGTCCAACAGTTAACCTAGCACTGCCAAGTCTACCAACATGTCCCTGAATACTACATCTATAAATCTTCTAAATACCTCCAGGAATGGTGACTCAACTACTTCCCTGGTCAGCCTTTTCCAACCCTTCAGTGAGGAAATTTTTCCTTATATCCAACCTAAATGTCCCCTGTCATAACTTGAGGCAATTTTCTCTTGTCCCTCAGCTGCCCCTCATAAAACTTGCTCTCCAGTCCTCTCACTAGCTTCACTGCCTTTCTTTGGACAAACTCTAGCACTTCAATGTATTTCTTGCAGTGAAAAGCCCAAAACCGAACACAACACTTGAAGTGCAAACTCACCTTATATTGCTTTTTTCTTGTGGCAACTCACAGTAAATGAATGAATTGGGCATAGAAAAGGGCATAGCAAAAATTCTGCTAGTGTAATTACACAGTTATCTCAAGTAGTCACACAGAGCTTTCATAAAATGACCCTACATCAGGTCCACACTTCCCATAGCCAAGAGAAAATGTTTTTTTGTTTGTTTGTTTGTTTTTTACTCCTAGCTTAATCAAGAGTCCTTTAGTACCATCCTCACACCTCAGAAACAAATAGTTATCCAGGCAGAATAAGTAGGGAAAAGTCTACTCTAATAAACGTTAAATATTCATTTCCAGAACACAGTAATATTTTGCTTGTATTAGTTGAAGAACTTTTATGTCATGTTATAATAGTGAGCTTTAAACCTACTTTAATGGGTTATAGCAATTTTTGTAACTTCTCCAGCACTTCAAAATCACCTTAAGTATTTATAGTGCTCCAAGCATCTTTGGATTATGTTATAACTCCATAAGATGCACGAGATGTGTTACTACGAATATTTGTTGACACAGTGACGTGTCTCTGAGTCAGACTTCCTTCATTTTTATTCATCTAGTGGGTGGGGCAATAATTATTGCTAGCCTGTTCTGTGTCAGCCGTTATAGTAGGGTGGATCTACAGACGTCTCTGTCTGTTCCTTAGCGTAAGCAAGCACACTATTTTTATTTATTCTTCTATACCTAATGTAATGTTCTAGTAACCTGTGGGAGTCAGACACCCTAACTCACTGTGACCCAGCTTTAACACTCCTTCCAGTATTGGTGTCTGTTTATGGCTCATCTGCATTTAGAAATATGCCTCTTTTACCTGATGATTTTCTGGCATGGATTTAGAGTGGTAGGTGCATGTATGAAAAACATATCACTTCAAATAATTTGGCAACTCCATTACTATAATAAACATTTTATAGCAAATGTGACATTTCAAGGAGGTGGGGGGGAGGTGGGGAGGGGAACAGAGAAGAGGGGGAGGACAACAACACTATAGCTCACTTTAATACTATTCAGAGCAATAATTTGCTGTTTCTTTTCCATTTGGTCCTATAGCTGCCACTTAATGGCAAGGGTGGGAGCAAAACCTTTTGCTAAATGTAACAAGAATTTAAATCACTCCATTGATAAAAAAGAAGGGGTGTTTGGTGTTTTATATCAACAAATGGGGTTCCTAAACAAAAGGCTTTAGTGAGCTGGTTGCCAGATTTACTTCCCAGTGATCAAGCACTGCCTAGCTCCCTCTCAAAAACATATGGAGATAGTTAGCTTCCCAGCAACAGGAGAGTCAGAAGCTGAAAGCAAGGCTGCCAGGAAAATCAAACTGCTGCAAACCCAGGAAATATGAAAACTTTTGAATCCATCTAGGAACATCCACAAGGACACCACTAGGTCCCAGACTTGCCATGTTCTTTTTCTCTAGCACATATGTGATATTTGCACATCACAAAGGTCAGGGGAAAAAAAAATGGAGAGAAAGAACAATCGTGCAAAAGAAATATCCTGGGATGCATCATCTCACTGCACACACAGTTTACACCTACATTATTAATGCTTTCAAAAATAGAGAACTGTATATACCCTGACGTTTGTAAGGTAAACTTGAAGATTCACAAAGAAATCAAAGTTATCTAATCTGGAAAACTGTCCCAAATTACTGAACCTTGCAGGATCTTTTGACATCTGTAGATATTAAATGAGCTGACAGACATGGCAGAACATACTAGTCATGAGCAAAAATACAGTACATGTTTCTATATGTTCGGCAGGTGAATAAAGCATTGCCATAAGGACTGCAAGATATTTGGAGGGAGGTCAGATTAACTCAGGTAGAATTTGTCTCAAGATGAAGTGCTCCCTGAAGTTCAGGTGTATTTTTTCTTGGTTCTGAAACTGTTCCCAGATGCAGTTTCATTTCATGTTTTTCAGAGTTCCTTCAGAGTATGTGGTAGTAAGAAAGTTGGCACTCACCAGGCACTTTTACACTGATAATAGGGACAGCCGGCTGTCTTTAACTATGATGATGTTTAATGATACTTACATATTTGTAACTGGTTCCTTAAGAATTCATTTCCTCTTTTTCTTAACAGTAATCTGTACCACTTAGACAAAGCAGACACAGCACCATGATCTAAAATCTCAGCACTCAGCCATTCATACTGATTTTCACAATGAAGAAAATGTAAACATATTCTAGTGAGAACTTCACCCTGTATCAGCTTTAATACATGTGCATAATGCTTGCATACATGCATCACCCAGTCTCGTAATGGGTGAGACCCTGTGCATAAAGTTAGAAAAGAAAGGCCCAGCTCCTCAGACTTCCATGGAAGAGTACATCAAATACATCCTATGTAGTTATGTTGATCCCACTGATAATTATACACCTAGGTAGGACTTAGAAATGGGAACCATCTTGCTGAATTTTGGATGTCTGTTTGTGAACTAGCTGTCAAATCTCCCTTTCTAGACAATGCAGGTCTACACAGTATCATCAATAACATTACAAGGCCAATGGACATTTTAGGATCAGGTCTATCTACTAAGCATAAATTATGCTGACTGTATTGATTAACTCCATTAGTTGCCAAGGGAATCTAAGGTGACTAACCCAGAGACACCTTCACTGAAGACAACCACAATTCAGATGAATACGCTCTCTTTTTTCTCTTCAGACAACATCTTCTGAGCAGGAACTGGCCAATATCTGGAACACTCATCCCTTTTCCTGAGCTAGGAAACATGGTTGACATTTATGGCAAACAAATGCATTTATATAAATTATTGTTCAAGATATAATCTTAGAAATATTTGCATATGAGTGCTACATATTATATGGGCAAAACTACAAAGCTACGGAAGAGTAGCGTTCAGCTCATGGCAGAGCACAGTTTCTGCTTGACTGAACAGACCAGTGATACCAAAGTTTGAAGTCAATGAAGTGGAGTTTTGATGAGATATTTTAAAATCTGATAAGCCAGATACCAGCAGGAAAGAGTTGTTAGGTATCAGCTGCAGAGAGTTCAGCTGAACCCCAGCATCGAACCTGCTTCTAATACTTTTTGCAATGTGCCTTCATATTTGTGCTCACTGAAATATTTGCTTAGACAATTGAATAGTATGTAAATTGCTCACTCTGTAAATGTGATAGCTATAAATATCAATCACCTCATTGGATAGATTTTTCTGTATCAGCAGAAATTAATTTCTTTTCCCCACTTCAGGAGAGGGAGGAGGTGGATAGTGAGCTAGAGAAAAAGCTCATATTTAGAATGAGAACCCCACATCTCTCCCTGTTGTAAAGCTGATAACCTCTCCTTCTCTCTTCATTCCCTACCAGATGAATTTCCCCAGCCTCATCTGCAGATCAGTTGCAGAAAACTGATGAAACCAGAAGAGGTGAAAGACTTCTGGTGATGGAGACTCAAAGCAAAAGACAGACACAGGAGGTGAGTTGTGTGCAACAGTCGTCCTGCCAGGAACACCCCGCCATCCCAAAGGGACACCGGAGGAAGCAGAGTCATGGCCTGTTCACCCACCGCCTGCCTGGCCACAGGCACAGTGGGAAGTAATTATGACTACAAAAAGCCCACTAGATGACCTCAGAGGAACTCTAGCTGTAGTGATTGCACTCCCACATCCAAGCTTTCTGCATGTCTCCCCAAACTTTTTTATGTTGTTTTGTTTTCTCTAAAACTGAAGAGAAAAAAAAAGTCGTAAGGCATCAGAGATTCTTATGGTGATTGTATAATAATAAGCAGATTACAAAGTACATCTTTACATGATACACAGTTTAGATAAGCAGAGGTTTCAGCCCAGCTTCATGGATATTAAAAATGGCTTAAAAATCATTTTTGTTCAGAATACATTGAATGTGGAAGTTATATGCCTTCCTATAATGAGGAGATAAGATGTATAAACAGTTGTGCATGTTAAAATGCCTACACATCTTCTTTTAATTAAGTTTTACTCAGCCACTCTGATACAGTCCTTCTGTGTCCTGTGAGTCAGCTACAGCAAAGGGATCTGTCAGATTTCTACTTGATTTGAATTGTCCAGGGGTTATCAGATTCAAATAAGGACAGGAAATATCCTGAGCTTTTGAATAAATCTCACACCTATTTAGTCCCCTGAAAATATATTTTTTTTTATAATTTACCTACAAATTCCCAGCACTTTTCAGGGTAATTCCAGTCAAAATGGAAGTAGACAGACCTCTGGACCTCAAAATAAAGTGCTCTGTTTTTTTTTTGCAGTTTTTCCAATATGAATTCACAGGGTCATTTATATAAACTTTGCTGATCCTTCAGCTTTCTGAGGTGAACAATTTTATAGGTGACCAAAGGTAGGACTTTCCCTAAAATAGGCACAGAGAGAGTCAACTCTGCTGCAGGGAGAGCTATTATTACTGAGAGAACCAACATTTCAATACCAAGTTACAGAAAGAAATAGAAATTTAAAACTAGTATAATAGAAGAAACATCTGCGTGACCTAACTGTGTTATTCAATATAAAATCCTGTTCAATAGCTCCTATAACATATTACTTCTTATCTGCTTGAGGGTGGTCCAACAGTACTTTGGATTATATTACAAACGTAGATGGATTAGTTCAAAATTTCCCAAACTATCATTTGGGAACTGACCAGAAAATATATGATTCTGCCCTCTAGTTAAAAGGAAACTGAAGATGATTAGCTGAGTTCAGTAAGCAATGGGTTTTTCAGATAGGAAAGAAAATTGGTTTGGTTCAAACCAAAACTAATTTTTTTTCAAGTTTCATAGTGAAATGAATGAAGTGAAAAGATGTGTTTTGGTTCAAGCTTTAATGTTTCCTGTAATCTACAATTTTGTTGTTGTTGTTATTGTCAAACTGTTTAAATGTTTTGCTTATATTTTTTTAATTTTTATTTTTATTTATTTGTTTAAGATTAGGTTGATTTCTAACTCAAACCAACTTTGTGGAATGAGAAGGCAGAGTCTTGCTGAGAGAAAATATGAGATCCAAAAATTCGGCACTTCTGACACAGAGGAGTTTGATATGATTTAATTATTTCCTCTTTGCTTTTGCTTCTTCCCTTTCTTTCCAAGTCAGACCCATATGGTAATTTTAGGATTAATTTTCAGAGGAAAAGAACTTCTTAAAACATCATGCTGTAAGCATTTCATGCTGTAAGCATTTTACTACGTAAATTTTTACGGTAAATATTTCAGCTGTAGCAATTGGTAATAATGTCTTGCATGAGAAAGATGCTTGATCCTGTGCTGAGGTCAGGGTTCTGCAGTGTGACTCCATTTTCCTTATCAGAGTGCTTGTTGTTATGCCCTGTGTTGGAATAACAGGAGAATTGGGTTCTAAGGAAGGTATTAGTCTGGCATTTGTGTCCATAAAACTTTTTGACGTTCCTTTTGTTGTTTCAGCGCTGCTGTTCAACAAAGGATGAACTCTCCTAGTGGGAGCTGTCTGCTCACTGGTACCCCAAGGGTGGTTTTTGCTGAAGGATTTGGACACAAAGCAGGGTATGATCCTCTACACTAGAGTTAAGTATTTAACACCACCAAAAATGAAAAAAAATCAGGCATAAGCAACTTAGTTTTCCAAGAAAAAGACATGGAAAGGCACCCCCATAAAATGACTGGGCAACCTCTGCCAAATTCACCTATTTACTTGAAACGTGAATATCATTCCCATTTGCCTTAAACGAAAATAGTTCACAGCATAGCAATTCTCACTGCAGCAGTGAGATTTATTTTCTGATATTTTCCAATCTTTGACCAACACAATGTCCCAAAGAAAGTAAAACCAACGTACTAGATAATAGAAATATTGTCAAAATATTTTATGAGCTAGCATGTTCAGCGTGTAGCTTTTAACTTTTTCTGGGTGTTGAAGTCTTATTTTATTTGCTTTCTGATTTACCTTCATGGTGTCCTGCTACAGCAATAATGAATCTATACTGTATTATGCAGGGCTTTTATTTGTAGATATTCAGATGAGAGATATATTCACCAACTTTCAGATCATGGTGGCCACTCACAGTCAGAAAGCACAGTCCTTCAATGTGCCAGAAAAGACTGCAAAAATACCTGTCTGCTTTTCAAGAACAAGACCACACCTCTGTATTTGAAGGAGATGGATGCTCGTTTTCTTGTTAATCTGGTGTGGTAACTGGAAAACTTCCCTCTTTACTAAAGTTTTCCTTGAATTATATTTTAAGAGCTGCAGGGAAACAGTGAAATGAAATTAAAGGAGAATGTTAGGAACCACAGGGGAAGAAAAACCTTCAATTTTGAGTTGCAGAGTTTGCTGCTCAATAGTATTCAGCTGTTTGAACAAGCCACAGATGTGCAACACATGACTGCAGGTGAAGACATTACAGGGAAGAGTGTGATGAGGTTTCTGTGGAAGACGACATCCACCCCGCACCTCCACCCCGTGTCTGCTCCACCCTGAAGCACTTGGAGCTGACCAGACCCAGTGAGATCTCTGCTGGCCATGTTCCTTCTTCTATAGCCCTAGCACAGGGGGATTACAGAGGTGGCACAGGAAGGAGCTTGGGACTCTGTCATCACTACAAGTGGGGGAATAGTAAGAGCTGAGTAGTTCAGGGTCCCTATCCTTACAGGTTCCTCCTGAAATACATTTTTTAACAGATTCTGTGGGCAAAGCCCAGCAGATGTTTGGCCTGAGCAAGGTCTGAAGGATCACACCAGCTACCTCAGGACATGTGACACCAGACATGATGTAGCAAGCCCTGATTAGTGAATGCCTAAGGAGAAATTCGGGTGCCCAGATAGGAACATCTGTCTCTTAAAGATGTTTTGGTTATCCACGACATTTTCTTGGGTGCTGGGCAGTATCACAGCTTCTCCAGGGGACCTTCATGCTTTCAGGAATAGCAGCAAGAGGTTGGACAAAATATGTAAGACTGTCTAAATTACGTCTGGAAAACTGTTACTAAATACTGGATTTGCTTACCTAGTATCTCATGTCTGGTGTTGAAACAAAAAAAGTTGAAGGAAGGTGAGTCCAGTGAAACTCCTAAATTGAAAGGGAAGGGTCTTTTCTTTCTTTCTTGGTGGAAAAGCAATCTTGCCATTCCTAGCAGCCATCTCTTTCCCCCTTCCTCATTTCAGTCCTGCTAAGACATAGCTGATTTCATAATTCAAATCCTTTGTCTGTAGGGTCAGATACTAGTATATGATCTTCTGCTGAATAAAGATTATTCTGCTGAATAAAGGTTATTTTGATCCACAGACCCTCAGATGGAAGAGAGAAGAGAATGGATTTTGTCACCAGCCTCTGAGATACATGTGTCTGCCTTACAGATAGGTGGGAGTCAATACTGTGTCATTGAGAGGTCCTGCCTAATGTCCTCTTTTGGCCTTCAAAACTGAGAATCTCTGAGGAACTCCTGGTGTACTGCTGAAGACATAACACAGCCTTCTGGTGAATTCAGTGGAATACCTCGTTACCTTTCATGTTTACATGTGTAGCATGTTCAGTTTTTGTTGTTGTTTTTCTGTCACGTGAATGCTCAATGCTTTTGATTGTGGCTATATCCTTTGCCAAGACACACCATTTCTTTAATTTTAATTTTAATTTTTAATTTTTGTGTGTGTGTGTATTACTGCAGTGATTCACTTCCCTTATGAGCAAACATTGCTGCCTGCAAATCTCTTTCAGGGTTAAACTCAGACACCCCTTGGACTCTCATCGTGTTTGGGAGTTACAGCCACACGTGGGAGCCATGGCTGAGCTGTGTGTGGGAAGGGGGGAGGATTATAGCCTTGTTCTCACACCCCATTTCCAGGTGTTGAACTGCAGACATAGGAGAAGAAATTACTTCATCTTATCCATCTGGCAGCACAAAATTTAGGCTTTTACTTTCATTATCATGGGGATTTTTGTGTTTAGGTGGTTGCATGTTGACAGATCCACCTGATTTAGAGATCTCATCTTTCTATTAGTAAATGCATTTTCTATAACAAATACTTTTATTTATAGCTTATTATTGAGCCAACCAGAGAACCAGTCATGAACAATAAAGAATGAAGGACAATTCTTACTTCCACTCACAGTAGAACAGAAAAGGGGAAAACAAGCAAACAAGCAGACAAAAAAAAAAAAAAAAAAAAAAAAAAAGGATATCTTCCCTCTGTGGAGAAATCTTTCGGAGAAATCTTTCATTCTCAATTGTCTATTTCTAATGCAACAAGCATTTTCTAAAGTATTCTTCTCCTCCCTTGTAACTCATTAATCTAATTTTTGCATTAAATTATTTGGCAGGCAAACATATACTTAGCCTCTCAGGGATGGTACTTTCTTACCACACTTTTTTGCATTGAAATTTAGCCATCTATCATGAGTTTATACAAAGAGGCAGAGGATACATAAAAGGCATGTTATATTGGCTCACTCAACAATATACGCAGAAACTGTTTCACATCAGTGTGAAATTTCCTTTTGGTAACTACTGAATGCTGAGATTTCAAATAATCGGGATACCCGGGATTTGAGGAACTGCTGCTGTTCCTGCAGGCTGCCAGCAGAGAGAGCAAAAGGTGCCCAGTCAAAAACCATTAGCTCTCTATTTGTATTCTTCATGCACAGCATAACAAGTAGGAAAGTGTTTCCTTATGCCTTGTAGGGAACCCATGATTTTCTAATGTGTTGTAGAAAGTAAGTATAGCACAGCTACTTAACTACAATCAATATGGTTCATTTAACCCTTTCAGAAAGTTACTGCAAAGAGGACTTTTATGCTGGCTGCATACCTGTGTGGAAGCCACCTCTGTGGTTTACCTGGTTGAAGCTCCTGTTAGCACTTGAATTTCATCCATCCTGCAGCATGACCTGGTGGTTCTGTGATACCACCATCAGAAGATGTAGGTAACCTTCAATCTTTTAATGTGTTCACCTGTCCTGGGACAAGTGAGGCAGAGAAACACATCCTTGTATCCTTGTTCGGTAGCTGATGAAGTAAGGGCCTGAGAGGTGGGTTGTATGGTGGCAGCAGATGAGTGGCTTGGATGTCTCCAGCCCTTAGGCTGGAGTCTTGTTTATTAGCCCAGTCTTAAAAATGTATAAAATCACAGTTACAAATGATAGGCTGTGGCAGCTGGCTGTGCCTGGCCTGTCAGAATTAGGGAATTTGTGTTTCTTTCTCAACAGCAATGACTGAAGAGAAGGGTGCTGTTCACACTGACACACCCACAAACACTTACACTGGCTCATTGTGAAACATTTGGCATTTCGTGTTGCACAAGCCAAAAGGGAAAGGATTTAGGCTGACAACTGGAAGTAGAGGTGAAACAGCAGTCAAGGTGTACTGAGGATGTTGCTAGCATTTCATATCTCCATGGATCCCAGCCCAAAGATGACAAATATCTAGTGCAGGGGACTAGAAATGGCACTGGGAGAAAACAAGTTAAGGGAGTGACTAAGACAGGTTTCCCCCATCATTTTCTGTTTTGTAATATTAGAAAGATCTGTTATGGATCAGTGTTTATGAACCAGACAGCAGTGACCTTTTAGAAATGGGATTTGGCTGGGGTCTTACAAAGGTCCTCAATAATGTAAACTCTACTCACACAAATAAAGAACACAAAGTGAGATTTCTGCAGGGTGTGTAGCCAGAACCTGCTTTCCACAGCAGACAGATATAGAAGGCCCTTACTTGCTGCACTAAGCTGTGCTGATGGGCAATTCCTGGTCCTTGCCAAAGGATTTCCAATGACCTGGCCCATGGCAGATGCACAAAGAGAGGCTCATAAGAATATACATCTTCTGTGTGGCCCAGGAGTCGTAACCATGGGATTTTTCTAACCGGGTAATTTGATTTGCTATTCAGTACAGGCCTGATATGCAAAAAGAGAGAAGAATGGATGTTTTCCCAAAACGGTCAGTTTAAGGACAAACTGAAATATGTAAAATGTGAGTTAACAAGGAAAGGAACAGCCGTTTTCAGCTTTGCTACCTTTGACAGCAGAATATAAATTACTGCAGGGTGAATCTTGAGGCCAGCATCAAGGGAAAAATATTCTTAGGGTCAATCATTGTATTCACATCAGGAACACCTAAATTCAGCCAGATGAAGATGGTTATCTTGTTCTGAAATACTTTTGAAAAATATTTGGTTACTATTTTTCTCCAGATTTTCATTATGGTTTCAATCTATTCACTCCATAAATATCCCCACCTCAAATTGTTTCTAACATCCCATACTGGTGTGAAAACACCAACTCAATTAACTTAGAATTGGAAAGTAAATCAGAAAAGAAGATTGGGGATTGCATTATGACCATAATATAAATATTTGGTCAATATACTCCTGGCCTGAACTGAATTATTCTCATATGAGTTTTGCAACACGCTCTGTCTCTGCAAATAAAGTCACTTAGAGTTGGAGGCCTAAATGTGGATAATGTGGATTTTCTTTTTACATTGTACTTGGTACTTGTCTTTGTTTAATTCTCATTAGTTGCAATGCTGATCTAAAATATCATTGTTGAACTAAAATATCACGGAGGAATTTTGGTAAAACACTGGAAATCTTATTCCTTTCTTTGATGGTGATTTCATTTTACTCTATTTTCTCTGATTTCTTTAAATCAATATAAAACTTGAAAGTACTGTCCAAACAGTTGAAAAGCTGTCTTTCACCTATGTGGTACTAATTATGCATGCTGTACAATTGCTCACCTGTGAATCATGAGGGTATTTCTGCTCTGGGACTTGAAGTTTTCCACCACAAATTTTCATTACAACCACTTCACATCTGACTGACAGTCAGGTGTGTTAGAGTATCAGATGAATCTATGATTAGTGGCAATTTTTTAGACTTTTTATTTGCTGATCTTTTCTTACACCATTCAGTCTGCTATAATGAAGAAGAAATAAATAAATACAAATTGAGCAGGTGTCTTCTGACAAAGGCTTCTAGTAATGTGCAAAAGGTGGTTAATGGTGAGAAATGTGTTTGATATGTACTAATTCAATAGATCTCATGGATCTCTGACATTGCCTCTTTTATCTTTTCATCATATTTTAGCTGGAACTGTAGGTTTATCCAAAACCTACACTTCATTTGAGGTTCTTTGCCTCAAGTGAAGCATAACAATGCCAAATACTGAAGCCATCAGAAAAAGAAAAAGGCACAGTCTATTGAATGCAAGAACGCAGAATGGTGTAGAAAAATTGCAATTTCCTTTTACAAATTTTCAAGATATTTCCTCAGTTACACTGTAAGCACAAGGTAGTGGACAGCAGGACAGAACCCCAGAATTTTGTTTAAACCTAAAGCAGATAAGCCTCTTGCTCTGCAGAGAGTGATTCCCCATTTAGACAAGAACAGATAACCTAGGAGGATACTTCCATCTTTGTCATGTGATCCAAGGACAGTTAAACTGTTGGCAAAAGATGAAGTGCATGGGAAGAAAAGAAGATGAAGGGGATTACCTTTCCCTATAAAGTTTCCTTGGGCTTCTTACCTTTTACAGGGCGTGATGGGTGCTCTCATTTGTTTCCCATTAGCTGTAGAAATAAGGGGAAGAAACGCTGCCTTCACCTGAACCATGAGAGGAAACAGTCCTCCAAGCCCTAAAAAAAAGTTACCGAACATGTTCCATTTCTTGAAGTAAATGAAATGTGAAGAAAAAATATAGGCCAGCCTATTTTTTTCAGTAATTCTCAATTAATTTCAGTGATTACAGTAGGACTGTATTTCATATAAGATTTTTTTTTGAGTATTTTTCCATCAATTTGAGATTGCTGAAGCTAGTGTTCGCAAAGGCAGAAACTCGATTAGTTGAGCCAAGCAAACACAAAAATAGTGTTTGAAGACAATGAATAAGTCCACACAGGCCTGTGTTGTACAGGGCCTACAGATTTCTCCTGAACTTATATTTGATGTTGGTCTGTTGCGTAAACTACTCGGCTTTCATTAAGATCATCACTGAAGAAAAAGCACAGGCAAGGAATTACAAAATATATTAACAACATGTATTATTACCCTTCAGAGGGACCATTTACGAGCATACGGAAATAATGTACTCTTTGTTTATTATTATTTGCAGTGCTTTCTTGGTGCATGAAGCAGATCTACTCTGCTAACCCTCACTGAGATTTAAAAAGGAGCAGGAACATGCTATTAAGTATATTGTTTTCTTTTAATTATTTTTAGTCACAACAGTTTTTACTCTCTGAAGGATGCTTATTTTGTGATGTTTCAGTCTCTCTTTCTTTTTTTTTCCTTATATATTATCATATGCTAACCCTGAGACAGAATGAATATTGAGTTAAAATTATGAGTTATTTTAAGCTGCAACTTGCAACTGGAAAAAGCTGCCTGACAGTTGATCTTGAGAGTTAACTAAGTCTCTAAGCACAAAAAGATGACAGGTCTTGCTACCTGATCACTAAGGATTTCTTTTGCAATTAAAAGCGAAGACAGAGATTCAAATTACTACACACTGCTCTAATTTTGTCAAATAAATTACCATTATGAATATTCTATGGATATATTTGCAGTCCCAGCAAAACAGCATTGAAAAGTTCCATTCAAAATAGGCAATATGTAAGGTAATGTGCACCTTACAACGTTTTCTTATGAAGAATAATCTCTTTAAGGAAAGACTTTCTTATCTATGAAGAAGCAGCTAAGTGATATTAAACAGTATTGCATAGTGTTCTGCTCAATCACCACTGAAGTTATTTTTGATCTGGACCTGTTTCACTTAAAAAATATCCCATACTGTACATAAAATAGTTATGGTATTATATATAAGATAAGCAGCTAAGAGAAATGGTAGAACAATGTACACCTCAGTTGTACATACTCAGTTTAAAACAATATACTAGTACCCATATGTAAGACATGAATAACATCTTTTCCCTGATTTCACAGCTGTTAGAGAAATAATTCATTATTGTCATTAAGTCATTAATGTCCATGAAATAACAGGACACTCAGGTGAAGAGCCAGGGAATACAGAACAGGATTTCACCCATGAGATTATTATACTCCATTGCCCTTGCCCATGTAGTAGTACTGAAGATCAGCTCTTGCTCTGTGGATTGGACCCGCTCCAAAGGAGTCTCACC